CCTCCTTTCCAGAAGCCCGGAATAGACCTTACCAGGGAGGCTTAAGAGTGAGATTCCTCTGTTGCTGGAACACACCCTCCATTCCCCTTTTTTAAATAGAGGGACCACCTCCCCGGTCTGCCAATCCAGGGGAACTGCCCCTGATGTCCATGCAATGTTGCAGAGCCCCGTTAACCAACACAGCCCCACAACATCCATAGCGCTAAGGTACTCAGGGCCAATCTCATCCACCCCTGGAGCCCTGCCACCGAGGAGCTTTTTAACCACCTCAGTGACTTCAGCAACAGAGATGGGAGGACCTGAGCCGGAGCCTCCAGGCTCTGCTTCCTCAATGGAAGAAGTGTTGGTGGGTTTAAGGAGGTCTTCGAAGTACTCCGCCCACCGACATACGACGTCCCGAGTCGAGGTCAGCAGCACACCACCCCCACTATCAATAGTGTTGGTACTGCACTGTTTTCCCCTCCCAAGACGCCGGATTGTGGAGCAGAACCGCTTTGAAGCCGTACGGAAGTTTTTCTCCATGGCCTCTCCAAACTCTTTCCATGAGTTTTTGCCTCAGCGACCAGTCGAGCCACCTGCCGCTTTGACTGCCGGTACCTATCAGCTGCGTCTGGAGTCCCACAGGTCAATAAAGCCCGATAGGACTCCTTCAGCTTGACAGCTTCCCTCACTGCTGGTGTCCAGCAGTGTCCTCACTAGCTGCCTCAATAACAGAGGCACGGAACATGGTCCACTCAGACTCAATGTCCCCCACCTCCCTCAGAACGAGTTCAAAGCTCTGCCAGAGATAGAAGTTAAAGCTCCCTCTCACCGGTTATTTTATTTATTTAAAATAAATTTAATTTAGAACAGTTAATATACAGTCATATGTTATATCACTTTTTTAAATCTATTTATTACTGTTTTCAAGGCTGCACTTTTCAAAATTAAATTGTCTAGAGCTGTTTCCAAACGAAATTTCTTTTTGTTTTACACTTGTGTAAACAAGATTACCAATAAAATCTGTCTAAAGACTAAGTCTAAGTCTAAAAAAACTGACTTTCTAGATTCTGATTTTTCCAGTGTACTAATACACTGCAAAAACAAGCTAGAAATAAGAAAAAATGTCTTATTTAGCATTCATTTGAGCAGGTAAATAGGAAGATTTGCCAATGGAATATTTTTACTCTTAAAATAAGATAATTGGATAGAACTTGAAATAAGACATTGCAATGGTTTGTTTTTATTTTAAATGTAAATTGTCTTGTTCCACTGGCAAAGTGTCTCACTTACCTCTTCAATTCAAGACCAAATGCTCTTACCGTAAATCCTCTAATATAGGTCAGAGCCTTTGTTTCACTCAGGTGGTCCAGGCCATTATTGGAAGGAGGCCAGAAATAGAGGCAGGCCTCTATTTCTATTTGATCAAAACAAACCACCAGTGGAATAAATAAAACACAGATTTTGTGTCTCTTTGAACCTATAAAATACTAGCCTGACGTAGTCCTACTCAATCCTAGTCAGAATGAGTCTGATACTGCTCCATAGAGCTGTGATTATGGGGCGTGTTTCGAACGAACCAGGAAAAAAAATGCCTCTGCACTCAATTGGATAGACCTACAACCAATAAGAGCAACGGAGTGCGTGACGTATGTTAA